CACAGTGTAGTTAAGAGACAGTAGTTAGTTATAATAGATAGTTCAGAAGAATACGACTACAGAGTGTTATGATAGCATAACAGTAAAATAAAATCCGTTGATACTTAGGATTCACAGTGTAGTTAAGAGACAGTAGTTAGTTATAATAGATAGTTCAGAAGAATACGACTACAGAGTGTTATGATAGCATAACAGTAAAATAAAATCCGTTGATACTTAGGATTCACAGTGTAGTTAAGAGACAGTAGTTAGTTATAATAGATAGTTCAGAAGAATACGACTACAGAGTGTTATGATAGCATAACAGTAAAATAAAATCCGTTGATACTTAGGATTCACAGTGTAGTTAAGAGACAGTAGTTAGTTATAATAGATAGTTCAGAAGAATACGACTACAGAGTGTTATGATAGCATAACAGTAAAATAAAATCCGTTGATACTTAGGATTCACAGTGTAGTTAAGAGACAGTAGTTAGTTATAATAGATAGTTCAGAAGAATACGACTACAGAGTGTTATGATAGCATAACAGTAAAATAAAATCCGTTGATACTTAGGATTCACAGTGTAGTTAAGAGACAGTAGTTAGTTATAATAGATAGTTCAGAAGAATACGACTACAGAGTGTTATGATAGCATAACAGTAAAATAAAATCCGTTGATACTTAGGATTCACAGTGTAGTTAAGAGACAGTAGTTAGTTATAATAGATAGTTCAGAAGAATACGACTACAGAGTGTTATGATAGCATAACAGTAAAATAAAATCCGTTGATACTTAGGATTCACAGTGTAGTTAAGAGACAGTAGTTAGTTATAATAGATAGTTCAGAAGAATACGACTACAGAGTGTTATGATAGCATAACAGTAAAATAAAATCCGTTGATACTTAGGATTCACAGTGTAGTTAAGAGACAGTAGTTAGTTATAATAGATAGTTCAGAAGAATACGACTACAGAGTGTTATGATAGCATAACAGTAAAATAAAATCCGTTGATACTTAGGATTCACAGTGTAGTTAAGAGACAGTAGTTAGTTATAATAGATAGTTCAGAAGAATACGACTACAGAGTGTTATGATAGCATAACAGTAAAATAAAATCCGTTGATACTTAGGATTCACAGTGTAGTTAAGAGACAGTAGTTAGTTATAATAGATAGTTCAGAAGAATACGACTACAGAGTGTTATGATAGCATAACAGTAAAATAAAATCCGTTGATACTTAGGATTCACAGTGTAGTTAAGAGACAGTAGTTAGTTATAATAGATAGTTCAGAAGAATACGACTACAGAGTGTTATGATAGCATAACAGTAAAATAAAATCCGTTGATACTTAGGATTCACAGTGTAGTTAAGAGACAGTAGTTAGTTATAATAGATAGTTCAGAAGAATACGACTACAGAGTGTTATGATAGCATAACAGTAAAATAAAATCCGTTGATACTTAGGATTCACAGTGTAGTTAAGAGACAGTAGTTAGTTATAATAGATAGTTCAGAAGAATACGACTACAGAGTGTTATGATAGCATAACAGTAAAATAAAATCCGTTGATACTTAGGATTCACAGTGTAGTTAAGAGACAGTAGTTAGTTATAATAGATAGTTCAGAAGAATACGACTACAGAGTGTTATGATAGCATAACAGTAAAATAAAATCCGTTGATACAAATAGTGAATGCCGGCCCTGTAGTAAGTAACTGAAATGCTTCACTGCAAGATATATGGCCAGCAATTCTCTCCCAAATATGCTGTATCGTGTCTGAGCCGGTTCCAACTTCTTAGAAAATAATGCGATTTGGGTGACTTCGCCCTTCATCTTTTGTTGTAATACTGCCCCTACAGCTACTTGGGAGGCATCTCTGCACAAAATAAGCGACGCTTCGGGGTTGATATTGGATAGCATGGTGACTCTGGATAAGGCATCTTTTGCGTTGCAAAATGATTCGCGTGCTTCAGCTGACCACTGAAACTTTTTAGGATCATTTTTAAGGAGGTCGGTTAACGGCTGGACGATGGAGGCACACGAAGGAATGAAACGCCGATAGAAATTAAACATCCCCAAAAAACGTCTGACCTTCTTGAGTGAATCTGGTTCGGGGAAGTTTATGATGGACTCTATCTTTTCCTCCGTAGGCGTAATACCATTCGCGGTTATGTGGTGTCCCAGAAACTGTATAGAGGAGACACCGAATATGCACTTTTTGGGGTTAATGACGACTCCATATTGCTCAAATCGTTGAAATAAGATGGTGAGGTGATCAGTATGTTCTTCGGGCGACGAGCTAGCAATTAAAACGTCATCGATATATACAAATACAAAGTCCAAACCTTGTGTGACCTGATCCATGAAACGTTGGAAGGATTGTGCTGCGTTCTTTAGGCCAAATGGCATGCGGAGAAATTCAAACAAACCGAAAGGTGTGATGATGGCCGTTTTTTCGATATCCTCTTGGGCAACTGGTATTTGGTGATAGGCCCTGACCAAGTCTACTTTAGAAAAAATGGTTTCTCCGTGTAATGTCAGGGAGAAATCATGAAGATGAGGAATAGGATAACGGTCGGGAACTGTGGCATTGTTTAAATGTCGGTAATCCCCACATGGCCTCCAATCATGATCAGCTTTAGGCACCATGTGTAAGGGCGAAGACCAAGGACTATTGGAGGGTCTGATGATGCCGAGCTGCATCATGTGTTCAAATTCTGCCTTGGCTGCTGCCAATTTGTCCGGGGGTAATCTACGGGGACGAGCACGAACTGGTTGACCCGTAGTAACTATCTTGTGAGTAACTGTGTGAGGGACGTCCTCGATGTTGTACGACGGCTTAAGAATTTTAGGGAAACGGTGAAGTAGGGAGGAAAAAGGGCAATCTGCTGGTCTTTCAATACTGATATTATAGACAGAATAGCTGGAGATAATTCCATGGATCTTTAGATGGGTGTTGTTATCAATCAGTTTTTTATTGTTGACGTCAACTAACAGGTTGAAATTACTCAAGAAATCTGCTCCGAGGATGGCGTGACTGACGTCGGCTACTATGAAAATCCATGTGAAACGCCGACGTAAACCTAGATCCAGTATGAGGGATTGCTCTCCATACGTCTGTATGCTTGTGTGGTTAGCTGCCCGGAGAGACAGTTTTCCGGGTGTCCGTGTAGATCGCCTGGATAGTGAAGGAGGGATTACGCTAACTTCTGCTCCCGTGTCTACCAGGAATAAAGTGTCTGAAGTTTTATCCTTCACATAGAAGAGGCGACTTGTTTGCTTGCCAGTAACAGCTGTCGCCATCACTGTCTGGCTGAGGCGTTTCCCTGAGCCTGGTTGGCTTCGCTAAAGCTGCACGGTTTTACACATTTCAGGGCATGACGTCCAAACTTCCAGTGATACCAGCATATATTAATATCCCGAGAAGACGTGTAAGAACGCTGTCGTGAGAAGGATCGTCGTCGTGATGGTGACCTTCTTTGTGAACTCCGTCTCCGGACTTGTCGATCAGACTTATTAGTTTCCAAATTGTCAATCCTTGCCGCTAAGTCTGCAATGGCGGCGAGTATCGGTGTGTCTGCCGTGGGTGTGGAATGACACGGTGTGGCACTATCAGATGCTACGTGACTTATGGTGTTATCGGATAAAACATCCAAAATACTCTCTGCCATGTCACTTAGTTGGTCTAAGTCATACGACTTTCCTGAGATGATTAAAATTTGCTGGACATTTCTAGGTGCACATACTGGTATGTAATATATCCTGTTTGTCTGTTTATTTTCCCTTAGAAATGTCATCATTTTATGATAATTAAGGTACCGTATATGTCAATTTCTGAAGTGCTCGTTAGAAAATTGGACAACTTCCATTCATGCATGTTTGTGTAAGGTGCTTATTTAAATGCATAATGAATAATGTACACCATTCTCATACAGTTTCAGTTGTGTCAAAGTGCAGTGTCATATTTTGTTTTAAGTTTCATTTCGAAGTTGATTTTCGTATATGAAGATAATGTGTTGTAATAATGTAGAGTATATAGGCCTAAGCAATTTTTATGTTCTTCAAGTGATATATAGACTAAGACTGATTCAAAAATAGTTTACAAAGATAAAACAGTCACTAGTTTTGAAAATGTTGCTGTTATTTGTGTAACGATAGAAGACAAGGGCCAGGCAACAGATCATTTATTGAGAAAATCAAGAGATATTTGTAGATTTTTATGTACATTATTATTCGTTATTGTTAGCAGAGAAGCAAAGTCTTCTGATTGGTTGTTTTCCTTCTGAAGGTTATCCTGTCATCTCTTTGTTGCCTTTTCTTAGACAGTCTGATGATATATCAGCGAATCGTATCCGCCAACGCTAAGTCTGCTGTGATTGGTTATTGAGTTCCTCAAGGTGTTAGGCTTTGTTCTTTCTCTTATGACCTCGATTTGGGACGTAAACATTGACTTTAATTGTTGTCTACAATTTGTCTTGCAGACAGCTCTCATCACATTTGTCCTACTAAGTCTTCTTTTGACTAGTCACTTTGAATGAATGAATAAAGATGGATTTGTATGCTCAAGCTTACAGTGCTAATTAACTCTACTTCGTTTGATTGGTTTCTCTTAGTTGGTTGAATTATTTTATTCAGCTGTTTGTTTGTATTTGGTAAGTTTCAAATTGTTGAACTCATTGATCTCATTTGTTTGACGTATTAGCTTTTAGGTTTTACCTTCTTTTCTCCTATGAAGTAATGTGACCCATAGATTAAGACGGAAATCAAATGCCAGTCTTTTTTATGCAACAAGCTGTAAATGAGTATTCACACATATTAATGATACATGATCCTCATCTAGCTGCGTTTTTTTTTACTCAAGAACCCTCTCTGATTTGTCTGCTTATTGCCCTGTGTTTTGTTGTGTAGTTTCTCAGCCTCCAACACTAGTTTTCCTATAAACTTTAGCAATTTTGTTTTCAAACGGTGTCAAATCCTCTCATAACATAAATATCTTGTTTTCATCTTTATAGGACTCCCTCCATCTCGTCGTGGAGATTTGGAAATTCTACTGTTCAATCTTATTCATTGGTTGGCTCGATCTCATCTCAATGCTCCTCAGTTACATTCCACTGGTCTTCCTTGGGGATATCTCATTTCAGGTAAAATTATTCTAAGCATTCACATAACAGTTACACTTTCAGCTAAATGAAAAGTGAAATGGAAATCAGTTTCCAGAAAAAAATCATTGTAGCATGACAATTGAGCTTCATTTGACAAAACTGCGGAATTTGTTTACTAAAACTTTGAGATGAACAGTAGTTGCCTGTTAGTGAAACACCGTAAAGCTCCATTCTGCAGTAAGATTAGCAAGTCAGTTAGAACTCAGTTACGCAGAATAGATTTTCACGTATCAGTAGTTTATGAGCCTCACCTTATTGTGTGAGTGTTGACGATACTATGCTGTCGCGCAGGATGAAGCATGTAGAGCTGAGTTCAGTCCATACACCCCACTAGCTGTAATTACAAATGATAAAGCCAATGAACCGCATATCTACAAATAAAAAACTGTGGTGATTGACAATTTCTATCTCTGTATTGTTTAAATACTTACTGTTGACTGTTGATATGTTTCTTATATGAATTGCATTCTAATTCCGCTAAATACAAATTACTGATTGCTGCCCTCTCTGGGTTTTGATTAGATTCCTATAATTCCGTCATCCCGGTATACTAATACTTCAAGTACAATAAATTACTACAAATTGGCGTCGCGATGGAGCTAAGTAACCTGGGAAAATTTCCTCTTAATGGTTCTCCGCGGGAGATTGCTGATTATTTGGAATGCTTTGATGCGTGGTGCATTTCCAAGAATGTTCGGGATGATAAAATACCTGCTCATTTCATCACCGCTATTGGTCTTGATGCATATAGCCTGGTGAAGAATCTGGCGTTTCCAGATAAACCCATTTCTATGCCATATGCTAAGCTCCGTGAACTTCTTATAGATCACTTCCATGTAACTACTTTTGAGACCAGAGAGAGGGCTCAGTTCAACAAACTGGTACGTTCTCCCAATCAGAAGATAAGAGACTTTATACTACAACTCCAAATTCAAGCCTCAAAGTGTAATTTTGGAGATCAGCTGCATACACAACTACGTGATCGTCTAATTGCTGGAATCAACATTCCTAAATTAGAGAAAGAGTTAATTCAGATTCCTTCTTGTACGTTTCAAACTGCTAAAGAGGTATGTATTACATATGAAGATGTCCATAATGAATACTCTGCTCCCACTACGTCAGTATCTGATGTCATGCTGTCTAAAGTCGAAAATACAAGTGTTCATGGAAAGAAATCCAAACTGCCGTCCACAGGTAATAGAATGCAGCGAGAGATCAAAAACATTAAACCGTGTTTATCCTGTGGAAAGTTACATCTACGAAGCACTTGCCGTTTTCGGAGTGCTAAGTGCTATAAATGTGGTAAAGTTGGACACATCAAGACGGTTTGCAGGAGTTCGAGTACTTATGTTGCTCAACATTCTTATAATTCTCCCAAGCTGTCTAGTAAAATGGAGTCTATGTGTCTTTCAACTTTTCAAAATACTCAAGCTAATCCAACGAAAACCTCCACTGCAAGTTCAGCAACGCAAGTATCAACTGTATTCAAAAATGAGGTAGCTAAGTTGCAATGTGAACTGTCGAAAGCACGAAAAGACCTGAATGAGATGAGAGAGCAACTGAATAAAATTGAGGAATTACTGCATATGCATAGACTACGTCTGGTGAATCCAGAGCATACAAGTTCTTGTGAAAGTCCTGCAAAACTATTCAAATCTCGAATTCTCAAAAAGCATCTGATGTCCACTACTTCTAATGTACATTATTACAAAGATAATAACTACAGACCTTCTGTTGGAATTATACTACAAAAAATGGGAAATCGAGTGGTGAAGATATTAGACATCAAAGATCACTCAGTTCATAACGGACACCTGGACAAAGTGACAATAAATGAAGTAGGTCGTTCCAATTATAATATTATTGATTCCGCTAATAATCCTGATTTTGTAGATAATTCAGAAATAAGTCCAGATAGTACTGATGAAAATAATATCACAGAATCAGTTAGCTCGAAGCTACTTGCAAGCAGACCGAGACATCGTTATAAATACGCGAGGAGATATTCGAGGTGTGGCGGATGTGGTGATTGACAATTTCTATCTCTGTATTGTTTAAATACTTACTGTTGACTGTTGATATGTTTCTTATATGAATTGCATTCTAATTCCGCTAAATACAAATTACTGATTGCTGCCCTCTCTGGGTTTTGATTAGATTCTTATAATTCCGTCAGATCGAAATACTAATACTTCAAGTACAATAAATTACTACAAAAACCCATTTAGACAAACACTGCTTCAACACAGCACTTCCTGTTGTGTTTTTTCTCAATCTAATGTAAAAAAATGTTTCATTCGTATTACTGGTGTGAATTTAGGTTAGCTAAAGCTAGCTATTGTATTCTACTTTCGTGAAAAGTTTGAGTGGGTGAAATTGTAATTTTCCTCACTGAACAACTATATGTAGTGTTCTGAAGGATAACTTTAATACCCTACTGCTCAAATATCTTCATATGAGATGAAATTCAAACTCATAGTGTTCTGGATAAAAGTCAAGTGCTTAAATACATGAGATACAACTTTAATTAACTGATGGTATTAAAAGCTGGTGCTTTATAGAGTGATAGCATTCTGAGCTGTATAAATTAAGGTGTTTTCATCCTTATCCTATTGCAATCAACTACTCATTTTGACAGACTGAAAATGAACTGTGTAGCACGTGTTCTTATTATCGCAGTAACTGAAAGGTCATAGTCTTTCCAGCAGGTTTACTTCACTCATCTGAAACAGTAAACATATAGAAGTTGTTCCATCTTATACAGTATGCATTTTTATATCCTGCTATGATATATCTGAATAACCGACGAGCTCGCCTTGTCGCCGGGATGGTCCTAGGTTCGGAGTCCAGTGGGTTCATTACTGTTGATGAATCCCTAACTAGGACAAAAATAAAGATAGCCAATGCCTACTACTCTCCATAGTGTTACTGGTAGTTCTTTATTCGACTTCATTATTTTTATATTATCGATTAACTCCAAGTGATGTGATTTCTCAATATCTAATTTATTTTCATTTGTTCTTATCCGAATTCACTTTACGTGGAATATATTTTTTATGTACTAGGCTGTGAGCAGCTACACTTATTGTGTGAGGGTTGATGATGCTACCACCCAGTTGCTCAGGTTGTGAAGCAGGTGGAGCGGAACTCGAAACCAAGACCTATCTGATGAAAGTCGATTGCTTAACCCAATAAATCTCAGATTATGATATAAAATGATATTTTAGGTTTAAATAGCTTTTTTCTTTAGATATTGATATAAATAACTAATTATTGAATGTTTTCATAAAAAAATCGTCTTCTTAAAAGTTTGACTTCATCAAATGTTGTTCAGAAATGATTCATAGATGATATATGAGAGTGGTCATTAGAGCCGTGACTGACTTGTTTAGACAACTGACTTCCAACTCACTTGGTCAGTAATTCGAACACCACACTTCACCTAGCGAGGTTCAAGCAAGCAGTGCTTATCGTCAACCCTCATATAATATATGTGTTTAATACAAAAACAAACTTGGTACATTACGGTCATCAAGAGATGCGCTACACAAAATTTTATAGTTTATAGGACGGGTGAGATATTGCCCAGACTCCCAGATCAAAGCAGGTGGTTGTCTTGACAGGCCATTCCCTGAGTCTTTGATCTGAAGTCTCTAATTCACAAGGCAGTGGGACAGCATCAGGAGCTACATTTTCATGTTTTCCAGTGGCCAAAACAAGTTCATATACCGTTCAATCTGTTCTGAATTCGGAGCCTATGTGCACACCGTAGGTTTGGAATCAGGGTTTTCCAGCTCTCCCAGGTAGACACCTCGTACTTCCTCACATAATTTATGTGATCCATTGCCGATTTGCATGCAAGTGCAAGTAGTTGTTAAATGATAAAGTTGAACGGTTTTTAACACACTCTTTAGTTAGCCTCGGGATACTCGTGGAGTAAACGATTATGATATGATGACTGTTAAGCTGTAGTTGCCTTTCAAACAGTTAATTATTTATAGCTTTACTCATAATAAATATCTAGAATGGATATATGATTCCCATCAATTAATATCAGTCAGACGACTATATCACCACAATGTCAAGTACAGTATATATCTGTCAGCAATTTTAGGATTGTGCTTCGAATAGTATCACTTGCTTACTTACCTTCATTTGTTAAATAATCTCAAATTTGACTGTTTTTATTGCCTACTAAAATATTCAGACCCTAAATTACGCGCTAATGTTCCTGATCGTGTTAAAGTGTCAGTGGCTGATTTAAAAGAGAAAACAATGAAAAATCCTGCAGAATTTGTATTACAAGCTGGTTATGGACCAGTTGCTGGTTAGTTTTTATTTTATACTTTTCTGAATATATTAAACTTGATAGTTTTTGAAAGCCTACTCTGTAAGTACTTACTTTTTTTACTTTACTTCGGCTATCTCCTACGGGAGGATGAGCCGGCTTCATGAACCATGAAGTTTCATGGGAATTGGGTACGAGTGATGTCCCCAGCATCGCTCGGCCTTTTGTTTGAGAGTGCAGCTCTAGCCTTTACACAACCAAGTGTGACCTACAAGGCAGTAGGAGTGGAGTAGGGAGTCCACTATCCATTGGCAGCCGGTGACCGGAGTCCGGTTCATTCGCCTTTTTGAATGGGGCCAGTCATCCAGGGCATCCAATAAACCCTTTGTCCATACGTCTGCCGGTGAGCTTCATACGCCAGTCGTTGGAGGTTTGGAATCAGGGTTTAGCCATCTCCCCTAGACTGTCATCCAATGGACAGTCAACCCGGTGAAGAGCGCCTGTAAGTACTGTTTGACAGACAATTCTCGTATACTGAACCCGCGTGTATGCGCCAACTTTCTTATTCACTGAACAGTTATTCTTACTGGCTGGTAGATTTCTCTCATTAAACACCTTACAGTTGTATATTTATTCTAAAGCGACTTACTATTTAAGTTGGATTCTGAAAGGATATCTGTTATGTACTCGTCGCTAAATTATTGTTATGGACTGGTCGAGAAATTAATAGTCCTGACGCGAGAAGGCGGAAATCAGAAGACCACTAGGTTTGCGATGATACTTCTATTGTCCAAACACAAGGAGACGAAAATAAATGGTATCACACCAAAGTGGTAAGTAAGTAAAGTAGTTGTAAAGTAAAGTCACAAGATTGTGAATGCGACTATATATGAATGTTCCAGACAAAGCGTGGGAATAAATCATTAGACAGTCTTAACATGAATGACTAATTATAATGGAGTGTCGATCCAAGTATACATAGTGAATATAGCAGACATGTCAACAACCAAACATATAATATGGATATATGTCACTAAGCAACGGACTGTCAACAAACACTCATATTATATATAATATAATATAAGGAGAATACACATTAATAAAGGAGACAAGTTCACACAAGTGAAATGGTCACAGACTAAGCGAGCAAACAGAAAGAGAGACCAACATGCACACACACACACATAAATATATATATATATATATATGGATACATATCAATATCATTTAGAGAACCATTGGAAACCAGGATGTACTGATCAAGTGTTTCGACCTAGTTTGGGACTCTTCGTCAGTAGTTCACAAGGAAACCAAAACTGGGACCTTCAGGTTTCGAAGTGAGCCAGCCGGTCGACCCATTTAGTACTCCCTAGTTTTCAATTGTTCTTTAATTGATGTCATTTCGTGATCGAAATTGAAGTCAATTAAATCCCTCCAAATTAACACTGGAATGTTACTAGTATGAGACAAGCTAACGGTCAGTATCAACTGATTCTCTGCTGTTAACAACAAAACAATCAATTATGGGTGCTAACTTTGGGGAATTTTTACTTCCTCAACAGTAAATGAAACTGGATGAAAACAATCACGAGTACATTCATCAGAAATAAAGCGTTTATAAATTTAAAAACGCTTGCTTATTAATCCCTATTAGTATCTGCAAACTTTTTGAAACCAGTGGTTTGCCCAAAAAGTTAGACCTGCATCACTTTCCTGAAGTAAAGATTTTGATTAACACTAGCACATGAACTGAAGTGAATTTTAAACTTAGAACTTTGTACAAAAGGCAACTAATCAAGTTGTCAAACTTCAAGGAACCACACAAAGTTATAAAAACAAAATTTGAAGAAAATGAAATCGCTGAAAAGATATCTTTGCTGAACTTCGTGTTCTCTGCTTTCTAATGTCCATTTGGGGGTTTTCCACGATCTGGTAAAGAGCAATGACCCTTTTACAACGAAGGAGGTAAGTAAAGGAAACGACATTCGTTTGAATTTCTCCCGTTGATGGTCAAAGACTCTTGAATATCTTTGTCCCTTCTGTCGTCCCTAAGTTGAAATTTGGCCCATAATATGCATTTATAATTATTATAACAAACAGAAATTGTATATACATTGTGTTTGCTTGTAAAAGCAGATTTCTTAAGGTTAATGACTTTTTCTGAACAATCTTCTTATGAAGACAATAACAAATTTATCAAAATTATATTATATTTGTAAAAAAATCTCAGTAATTTTGCAACTATCCGGTCAAATCTTGATCACAGCTCATATGAGATTAGCAAATGTTTTCTGACTGTTCACCCACCCACCCACAAACACACACACCCTTATACACTGCATATACACATATATTTTAAGAAAAGTAGACAAATTATTGAATTGAATTTTTGATATTTCTGAACACCTTTACACGTCCTTTAGTCGACAGTTGGATATCACGTCTACATTCACATTAAGATCTTCCTTACAGCTGTGGACAGAAGGATGTACGATTTTTTGGGTCTATTTTATCTAACTCCACCAGTCAAGAGCGGTGACGTAGCATAGTTGGCATGCTGATTGTCTGAGATGAACACCTTACTACTGTCACATCTCTATTTACCAGCAGTGGGACTTCGACTACACACAAAACATTAACACACTAAACTTCAAGCCTCTTCATTAATCGAAAAATGATTATTGGACTTTAATTATTGCATCATCACCTATGTAATCGATCATGGCATAGATGAACACCAGAGCAGTAGTCCCTTTAATGTCTTCATAAATCTTTGCATAGAGTGTCATGAAATGCATTTTGCAATAGACTGCGATTGCAAACATTCATAAAACACCTGCAGCCTTTACTGGATATCGCATAAAACATGGCCAGCTGTAAAGGATAAGCAAGAAGCAAGGAGGAACTCTAGTAGCCAATGAAACAGTCCGATAACATCACACACGAAGCAGACCGTTGATTGCGACCTGAAGGAGATGCGTTAGGAGTGGGTTTAAAGGTTAACACGGAGGAGATCATGTCTGCTTACCTGATTGGTTTCAACAAAGAACTTCGCACTGATGTGCAGAAGTTCGAGTCGCCACACCTCACTTAGCACACAAAGCAAGAGAAGAAAGTAAAAAGAAATGGAAAAAAAGACAGTAAACAGATATATGAGGCAAAAAAGAATAGTAGTATAGAAGAACCATATAGTTTCATTGGAAATTATAAGTCACAACGAGTGGATGCATCTGCGCCATCCATTGAGAATGCGGATTTTGAGCGATATCACCAATTGTCTTCAGCCTTCATTGGTCTTTACCATCTCGAGGACCCCAACCAATCAGGAAGTCTACACCTTCCTATGTGGCCTAAACTAATTGTTATAGGACAGTCATTACTGGTGAAGGTTAAGGATAAAATAGAACAAGAAAACCAGCAGAATTGCGTATACCAGATCAATTGTGGGGATTGTAACGCAGTATATGTAGGAGAAACTTTCAGACAGGTAAATATAAGAGTAAAAGAGCATAAGCAATGTCTAAAGGTGGTTCCAAAGATCTCTGCGGACTTGAAGAAGCTAGAAAACAATTCAGCGATTGCACTGCATTCGATAGAAACGGGACACAAAATCGACTTTGATAAGACTAAGGTTTTATAGAAAGGTTTTGGTTCATATAAAAAAAGACTGACTGTAGAAGCCCTACATAAATGGGTGAATCTCAACAGTTTAAACAGACGTGAAGGTGTGATGTTACCTGATGCATGGCAAATCCTGACTAATAAATAAAAATTGCATATGTATCAACAACTAGTCACACTTGGTCAAATTCCCGATTGTCTACATCTTCTTATGAAGAGAATAACAAATTTATAAAAATTATATTATATTTGTAAAAAATATCTCAATTATTTTGTAACTATCCGGGCAAATCTTGATCACAGCTCATATGAGAATAGCAAATAATTTTCTGACTGTTCACCCACCCACCCACAAACACACACACACATCATTATACACTGCATATACACATATATTTTAAGAAAAGTAGAGAATCTCCTGAAGAAGCTGTGGCTTACACGGCGAAACGTTCAGAAAAATCTAGTTTTGATTTTCTTAACACGCTGGGATTAATTTAAATAATTTATAATAAAAAAGGAGACAAGTTTTGAAAGTCTGAGGTCGAATTTTTGATCATAGTACATACAATTTTTGTTTGGTTTTGTTTAGTATACCTATTGATAGATGTTTCTTGATTCATATGACAGGACAGAGAAACAATTTAAAAACAAGAGATATACTTTTATATATAAACATACAATTTTATTTTATTTATTCATTTATTTACTATACATGTATGTTGATACCTGTTGCATGGCTCATGACTGGACAAAGTGTTTTAAAAACAAGAAATGTTCTTTTTATAACATATAAACCTCTGTTATGTTAATTTCGATTAATTTCCCTGAAGAAGTTCGGACCAGATTGATGACGAACGAAACGTTGGAATTACTCATTTCAATATCGCTGAGATTTTACAAATATAATTTCTTACAAATGTCTACTTCTCACTCGGCGCCGAAATATTATAGAACCATTCTGTCAAATCTTGACTACAGTTCATTTGATTTATTTTGTAATCGAATTCAATTCACAAAGAAACTATGTAATTGGCACAATCATGGTGTTCCCACTCTCCGTTGTCTGCAACAGAATGCCTATCCTAAATTCGTAGCTGTCCAGTCACCTGACAACTTCAGTAGGTCGAATAATGCAGCTGAATTTTCAGAAAGAAGACAAAGTAATAAGTTTGACAGGGTGCTTCAACTCAACTCTAATCCTAAACACCATAATTTTGAAAATACGTCCAATCATAAAATTCTAGATACTAACAGTTTGAACAGACATGAAGGTGTGATGTTAGATGACGCATAGGAAATCCTGATTAATAATAAATAAGAATGGATATGTATCACTAACTAATAAGACTTGGTCAAAGTTTCCCGACTGTCTATATCTACTTATGGAGAGGTTAAGAAATGACTTCCAACTGTTCAGCGACACACGCATGCACACTGTCTTTAAAGTGTTTAACAAAGGTAGACCAATATTTATAAGTCTGAGGTCAAATTTTGATCACAACTCGTACAATTTTGTTTATTATACGACGAAAATGTGGAAAGCCTAACCTGACAAAACCAGAGATAGAAGCTCTGAAACACCTTAAAAACAACAAGGACATAGTAATCACAAAGTCAGACAAAGGAAATACAACAGTCGTTTTAGACAAATCAGACTATTTGGACAAGG